TCAGTTTCCATAGTGTGAAACAACTAGCAGTGTTTCTACTCCTTCCACATGGGATGCTAGTCCTGACATATTTCAGGGTGTCCAAGCAATTTGTCGGAATCCATTTACACATTTAGAGAGACGCAGTGTGAGGGCCCATTTTAGTCGAGATAACGACACAGACCGTCAGCGGCCTGGATGAGAAAATATTGACCTGCCAGATTCAGAGAGACCTGCTGGGTCTACAAGTACCTCATACGAATACCTATTGTTATAAAACAATCGTTAGGACATATGTTCCCGGGATTTTTTTTTATTAATTTCGCCATTAGGCCACAACGCTTCCAGTAACAAGTAGTATAACTTTAATGGTACCTTACATGATTACATGAGTGCCTGGACCCTGCTGCCCTAGGTAGACAATGAACATCATAAACCCTACCTTCCTGGACGTCTGTCAAGTTAGTTATTTCAGAGAAAGGCATTCCTCTTGCCCATTCAAACACAGCTTCCACTAAACCAAAGCGGTATTGTTCTTTAAACTCTTGTACTGAAGTACTGAGACCACACTCGGACTGCAAGTTAGCGATTTGTTCTGCCATATTTAATATGCACTCCTTGCCCTGATAAAGTAAAAATTGAGACTCAAATTAGTTCAGAGGGCTAATAACCGAAATCAACTGATCAGATAGAGCTCCATCCGGCCTTGATGCCTCATTACTTCAGCCTGCGTCTCAGACAGCTTACACCCCCGAGGATTTTGTGACACGCCGACTGCACCGCAGACGACATTACTTCAAAGCTACATTCCACTACCCTGTTCGGGGTGTTCGGTTAATTTAAGAGCACCGAAAAAAACGGCGAGAGAAAAAAATAAGTGAGGAATACAACGCTCATCGCTCGATATTCCTCTCCTTTTTCTCTCTCGCGTTAATCACTCTGCTCCCCAATTAACCGAACATCTGATGCAGGCTACATTTCACAGGCATTGCTGTACCTCCTCTAGTGTCTTTGTTAAGGATGGTTCACTGCTTCGACGCTGAAAAAAAAAATAAAAAAGAGGGTGTGAAAGAAATACATTGAAGGTAATTATTATCTAGCAAGAAAGCGCGTGTTTTCTGGTAATTTTCTGGCATTTACCTGTTGAAACACGAAGCATGACAACAAAGCAACAATCTCCGTTGGATGCAGATTGGTGAAAGCATTTTCAAACACAAGTTCTGTGATGATCAACTCGTGGTTACTGATCTCGCAAGCTACTCTTCCTTTCAGCTGTACTGTGTTATTGGCGTCCACGTAACGCAATTTTCGTAAGACCTGGAAAACGAACAAAGACAGAACAAATTTAAATTCTAACTAGACAAACAAAATTCTCGGGTTTGGTCCAACGCTGGAGCTTTTCCAGGGGTCTTGCAGTAATCAAGTACCTCTGTAGCACCTCTTTTTTCATTAACCCACTGTAAACACTGCCTTCATTAAATTTTTTTTAAACACTAGCGACCGTCTTGTGACATGAAATAAACCGTTTCTTGAAGTGAGTCAGGACCCTTCCTGGATGGGAAACTAGTAAATCAAAGTGCTCTTAGAGCGTTGGGCTGAGTAAACATCAGTGGTGGATCCAGACCTTGAGCTAAGGGGGGAGCCCGGTTTGTTTTGCTTGCCCTGCCGGCTTTTCTTCCTTCTGTGATTTCTTCTTTTTTCACCTGAACATAATGATTTTGCTAAGGCACTGGTATTACAAAAGAAGTTACGAAAAGAGAGATCGCACGTTTCCGTTACAAAGTAAGGCTGATGCAGAACGATTCATAAGAAAATCATTTCACCCCCATGTTTATTTTCATACAAATCAAACTGATTCATATAAATAATCTTTCTACACCGTGAGGTAAAAGTCAGTGGCTCATTGAAAACAGAGAATTGGCAATACAAGTTAACCCACAAACTAAACGTTATGTAACTTTTTCTTTAAATGTTTGGTTGGCAGTTCGTCAGTGATAATTTCCTTTTCATATTAACGTAACATTTATACCTCTATTCTTTGCTGCAATTCTTCTCTGTGTTGGAGACTTTCGTCTGACAATAGAAACCTCAGAGTGGTCACGTGTTCACGTAACTTCATCTGGTCCGCAACGGATTTAAACTAGAAACAAAATAGAGTAATGTTGGGTTGTTATACTTCTCCCAAAACTCTTTTTTTGATAAGTAACAAAGTTGTTGTGAAGTCATCGAGTAATATACTGAGAACGATGTCAGTCAGTCGGTCGGTCGGTCGGTCGGTCTTACCACAGGTCACTAAAATGTGAAATAAAGTAAGATAAAGCTATGATGTCTACTTAATTCATTATACAAATTACATTAACACATTCACATGATTTATGAGAATAAACAAATCTCACGTGTTCTGTAAACTTGGGACAGTTTAAACAAGCGTAGTTCGCCATTCGTTCTTCGAGGCTCTGTTTTCGCGCTATCATTGTCACCATATCTAAGTCCCGGATGTTGAAGTCTTTAACAGGATCCATGGTACCCAGTCCTTCAGGATTAGCCTCGGACAGTCTTAGCAGTTCTTGCTCAGCAATGATGGTAGTTTTCCCAGGCAAGTCATTCCTTTGGAGAGACAATGAAACGCAGAATAAAGGAAAACGAGAAATCCCATTGTATGGATTTAGGGTTAGGGTTAGTACATAGTAATAGGTAAGTAGATGAGTAATCTACACCAGAGAAGCTATTTCATTAATTTTTTTCTAACATAAAACGGGAAAGTAATAAGACAAGTTTGATGTGGAAGTTTGATGTGGAAGTTTGAAGTTTGATGTTGAAGTTTGATTTGTCTGGTGAAGTTCTGTTGAAAAAGTCACTTTATAACATGCCATTTCCGACGAGTGAGAGACGAATTAACTGGAAATTAATATTCTGACATTATGATGGAGAGGGGTGGGGGATGCGTAGGGACGGCCCTTAGGGACTACTTAAGGTTTTGGCNCTGAACATAATGATTTTGCTAAGGCACTGGTATTACAAAAGAAGTTACGAAAAGAGAGATCGCACGTTTCCGTTACAAAGTAAGGCTGATGCAGAACGATTCATAAGAAAATCATTTCACCCCCATGTTTATTTTCATACAAATCAAACTGATTCATATAAATAATCTTTCTACACCGTGAGGTAAAAGTCAGTGGCTCATTGAAAACAGAGAATTGGCAATACAAGTTAACCCACAAACTAAACGTTATGTAACTTTTTCTTTAAATGTTTGGTTGGCAGTTCGTCAGTGATAATTTCCTTTTCATATTAACGTAACATTTATACCTCTATTCTTTGCTGCAATTCTTCTCTGTGTTGGAGACTTTCGTCTGACAATAGAAACCTCAGAGTGGTCACGTGTTCACGTAACTTCATCTGGTCCGCAACGGATTTAAACTAGAAACAAAATGAAGTAATGTTGGTTTGTTATACTTCTCCCAAAACTCTTTTGTTGATAAGTAACAAAGTTGTTGTGAAGTCATCAAGTAATATACTGAGAACGATGTCAGTTAGTCGGTCGGTCGGTCGGTCGGTCTTACCACAGGTCACTAAAATGTGAAACAAAGTACGATAAAGCTGTGATGTCTACTTAATTCATTATACAAATTACATTAACACATCCACATGATTTATGAGAATAAACAAATCTCACGTGTTCTGTTAACTTGGGACAGTTTAAACAAGCGTAGTTCGTCATTCGTTTTTCGAGGCTCTGTTTTCGCGCTATCGTTGTCATATTATCTAAGTCCCGGATGTTGAAGTCTGTAACAGGATCCATAGTACCCAGTCCTTCAGGATTAGCCTCGGACAGTCTTAACAGTTCTTGCTCAGCACTGATGGTAGTTTTCCCAGGCAAGTCATTCCTTTGGAGAGACAATGAAACTCAGAATAAAGGAAAACGAGAAATCCCATTTTATGGATTTAGGGTTAGGGTTAATAGATAGTAACAGGTAAGTAGATGAGTAATCTAGACCAGAGAAGCTATTTCATTAAATTTTTTATAACATAAAACGGGAAAGTAATAAGACAAGTTTGATGTGGAATGAAGTCTGGTGAAGTTCTGTTGAAAAGGTCACTTTATAACATGCCATTTCCGACGAGTGAGAGACGAATTAGCATGAAATTAATACTCTGACATTATGATGGAGAGGGGTGGGGGATGCGTAGGGACGGCCCTTAGGGACTACTTAAGGTTTTGGCGGGAGATTTAGGTCATTCTAGGTCGGTCAGTCTTAGTGTTCGATTCGCCTACTTTATTATTTTTTTTGATTATGTTTCTGTTAAACAACTTGTATATTAATAATTGTAGAACACGTTATCCTCAGAGTCTTGTGCTGCTGCATTAGATAAAAAGAAAACGTTTCCACATATTTTTGGCCACATCACAAGGGTGTTTTCTTTGAGTGGTGTTTCGTATCTGGCGTAGCACAGGTTCTAATTCTTAGAACCAATAGTTTTAACGTGTGCGAATAGAGATCTTACATTTGCATCACTTGACTGACTGACGCATCCTCAATAAACTTTTCAAATTGAATGTCTCGTGTAAATGTCTCGATGAATTGTGTCAAACTTGAAATTGGACGAAAACTTTGAAACACGAACGTCTCTGTCTTGTCTGAGCTAACTTGGTTGAGTTACAACGCCTTAGAGACACGACTAAACGATAACACAGTACTATCTTACGGAGAAAACTTCTATTTCTGATTTTAGCGAACCAGTAAACATAACACAAAACAAACCCATAACCATCACTCACCTAAATCTTGGCAGCATTCTCTTTTTATGGTCTTCAATAATCCTGTTCGTATCCAACTTCACTTGACGAACAGTAATAGCACTGATTTCACTTCCATTCACTTGTACAATGCTGTGAGAACATCGTCCTTCGGGTAAAAATAACCTTCGCTTTACAAAAGGCTGCACGTCATCATCCATGTCTAATGCACCTGTTGGTGCGCTGTTAACTGTTGAGAAAAAGTACATTGAGAATTACCAGACATAGTTATATTTAAAAACAACACAGGAACTAACAATAACTGAAATCATTCATATTCAAAGAGAAGCACGTGAATTCCTTCATACTACGATTATCAGTTGAGTAAGGCGAGACGGAGCTTTGGTGACGAAGTATGTATTGAAAATTACGGTGTTGTCACGGGCAACTTTCCTCGGTTCCAATGATATTAAGGTGATTCCCTAGTAAAAGAGCCCACCATAGATTTTCGATGAAACTTGGTATGCTGTTGTTACAGGACAAGGAGATATTAAAAACGAAATAAAAAGAGGGGGTCACCGTGCTTGTTTTCACGCCACAATGCTGACAAATGCGGTTATTTCTGTGACCTTTGGTAATCTCGGTGCGCAACAAATAAGCTCGATTATCTTTCAATGCAGCGTGCTATATCACACAGAGTTTGACTTTCTTTGATCGTTAATTCATCTGCGTCCCAGAAAAAATGTGTTCAAATACCCTGTATCTTTTATCCTTTATAGGAAACATAATTTGAACATGCGCTGCTGGGCCCGTTATGTCTTAGGGTTAGGGTTAGGTCTGTAGTAATTATTTCATTTGCCATAAAAGTAGCCATAGATTTCTGCTAATTTTTTTCTCAGTTATTGAGGATATTGTTCTCATTGGAATTATGCAATAAAAAGTGGGGGTCACAGTACTCGTTTTAGAGAAAAGGAACATTTATTTCGCTATCGAACTTAGTTTGAGGGAAATCTCTTACGTTTTGTGCGCGCACGCACTCATGTGCGCGCGCTAATGACGCGAAAATCGTGCGCAGTAGGGATGCGCAATGCAATACTAAGGAATCANACTTAGTTTGAGGGAAATCTCTTACGTTTTGTGCGCGCACGCACTCATGTGCGCGCGCTAATGACGCGAAAATCGTGCGCAGTAGGGATGCGCAATGCAATACTAAGGAATCACCTTAATATCGTCGCCTGCAATTTCGCGCGCTCTGCTTCCAATGACGTCCAAGGTCGGAAAGTTGACACTGGAAACGGCGGTAGCTGCCCGTGACAACAACACAAGTTGAACGCTGAAACCTGGCCACCAAACTTTCGTCGCGCCTTACTCAACTCATAATCGTAGTGAACACCACTTGCAAATCATTTTCAATTGGTAAATTTATGCGTTTACCTGATTTTTGGTCCTCTGCGTCACAGATCACCAGGACCTCAAACTTCTTGTCTTTTGGACTGGACACTAATTGAGACTGCACAGTTGAGTAGCCTTGAGCCGAGACGTTTTCTGTTCGTAATATCACAGCTAAAGCATTTTTGTGTTCATCGGTATTTATAGTCACAACACGCCCAGGAGAGAGAGCACGCTGACCGTGGGGAGACGAAAGGATGGCTGCCTGAGGGAAGAATAGATTAAGAACAAAAAATATTTAATTAAATAATCGAGAGAGATTTCAACCATAATGGGAAGGATAGCTGTTATTGCAGTTGAGTCTGCGGTTAAATATTCTTTTGTTTTAAAAGGCATGCAAACGAGGCGAAAGGGTCAATACAATGCAGGATTGACCCTTTCGCCTCGTTTGTGTGTCAAGCCGCTGATAACTGCAATAACAGCTATTGAACTGTCTCGATCTTGATATTTCGACAAATTCTCCCAACTAATTATATAAATATATATATATGGGGGCTTGTGAGAAGTATTTGAATGCTAAACGTGTCGCTTAAAGATTAACTGAGACAAAGTTGACAAGACGACGGATCATCAACTGGCGATGACTGGTCAGAAACATGATGTTCTGGTGAAACCTGTTTTATCTGTACCCGCTGGGCATAGTACGGATATGACTTGTTTTACAAGCAGGGTTAGACACCAAAACAATGTCGCTATGGATGTATACAATCTGAAAANTAGTGAACACCACTTGCAAATCATTTTCAATTGGTAAATTTATGCGTTTACCTGATTTTTGGTCCTCTGCGTCACAGATCACCAGGACCTCAAACTTCTTGTCTTTTGGACTGGACACTAATTGAGACTGCACAGTCGAGTAGCCTTGGGCCGAGACGTTTTCTGTTCGCAATATTACAGCTAAAGCATTTTTGTGTTCAGCAGTATTTATAGTCACAACACGTCCAGGAGAGAGAGCCCGCTGACCATGGGAAGATGAAAGGATGGCTGCCTAAGGGAAGAGTAGATTAAGAATAAAAATTCGAGGCAGACTTAAATATTCGAGACAGATTTCAACCATAAATGGGTAGGATTGTACTGTCTTGTTCTTGATATTTCGACAAATTCTCACAACTAATTAAATAAATATATATGGGGACCTGTGAGAAAGTATCTGAATGCACTGAGACAAAGTTGACAAGACTACGGATCATCAACTGGCGATGACTGGTCAGAAACATGATGTTCTAGTGAAACCTGTTTTACCTGTTCCTGCTGGGCATATTACGGGTATGACTTGTTTTACAACCAGGGTTAGACACCAAAACAATGTCACTACGGATTTATAGAAACTGAAAACCAATAAGGAATGAATACCTGTATTCATATTATTACCTGAACCGTTCTTGTCAATTTCGACAACTCTCGACAATCCTTAAAGTACAACTTCAAATCCTCCGCACAAAACGTACAGTCCACCTCTTTTATATTTTGTAATTTTTTCTCTACTTCCTCCATTTCGCGTTTTCTTTCCTGCGAGTCTTTCTGCATGTGGAACTCGGCAAAACTTCTTTTCATCATGTCTTCTACACGCAGCTCTTCCACTCGTAAGAGATTTAATATCATAGAATATGTAAGACGGAATCTAGAGACCAGTTGAGTCGGTTTTCCCTGTCAGAGATAACCCGCAAAATTAACAGCAATGCGATTTTATGAATAACTATCGCAGTTACGTACAAAACTTAAGCAGTTCCGAAAACAAAGCCTGAAAACTTTAAGGTTTGAACTGAATGCAAACAGGCATTGTTCTACCAACAGTAGTGCTATCAAGTCAACTGGTTGCCTTGTAGTCGGCTCTAGCGGCGCCCGCTCTACAGTCAACTGAAGACGGATCACAAACAATTTCATCCAAATTTCTAAGGTGCGCCATCGCTTACTTAGGTGTGAAGGCGGAAGTGACCTTACCAGCATCATCTTATGGAGGTCAGCCATTAGAGGTATGTTTCCTTTACATAATATGATAACGGTTCCGGTAGGATCCAGGCCTCTCCGCCCCGCACGGCCAGCCATCTGAATGTATTCCCCGGTCAAGAGATCTCTGAAGCTTGAACCGTCGTGTTTCCTGATTGAATCAAATACCACTGTCCTCGCTGGCATGTTAACTCCCATAGCAAACGTTTCAGTGGCAAACAGAATCTGGAGGCAGAGACAGTAATCAGAAAAATTACTGACAAAAAGATTTGAGTAAAAGAATGCTAATGTCAACAAAAAATTCGGGGTTTTCCTCCTTACTGCTTCACAGGTTTTGGTCTTTAACGAATTCGTTTTATTTTCCAGAGTTCAACGAAATCACCTGCCCGCCTAAATCTGTTGCTGGAAGTTGAGTAGCAGCTAACACGTAANTTGTTTTAAAAGGCATGCAAACGAGGCGAAAGGGTCAATACAATGCAGGATTGACCCTTTCGCCTCGTTTGTGTGTCAAGCCGCTGATAACTGCAATAACAGCTATTGAACTGTCTCGATCTTGATATTTCGACAAATTCTCCCAACTAATTATATAAATATATATATATGGGGGCTTGTGAGAAGTATTTGAATGCTAAACGTGTCGCTTAAAGATTAACTGAGACAAAGTTGACAAGACGACGGATCATCAACTGGCGATGACTGGTCAGAAACATGATGTTCTGGTGAAACCTGTTTTATCTGTACCCGCTGGGCATAGTACGGATATGACTTGTTTTACAAGCAGGGTTAGACACCAAAACAATGTCGCTATGGATGTATACAATCTGAAAACCAATAAAGGACAAACACCTGTATTCATATTATTACCTGAACCGTTCTTGTCAATTTCGACAGCTCTCGACAATCCTTAAAGTACAACTTCAAATCCTCCGCACAAAACGTACAGTCCACCTCTTTTATATTTTGTAATTTTTTCTCTACTTCCTCCATTTCGCGTTTTCTTTCCTGCGAGTCTTTCTGCATGTGGAACTCGGCAAAACTTCTTTTCATCATGTCTTCTACACGCAGCTCTTCCACTCGTAAGAGATTTAATATCATAGAATATGTAAGACGGAATCTAGAGACCAGTTGAGTCGGTTTCCCCTGTCAAAGATAATTCGCAAAATTAACAGCAATGTGATAAATGAATAATTATCGCAGTTACGTACAAAACTGAAGCAGCTCCGACAACAAAGCCTGAAAACTTTAAGGGTTGAACGGAATGCAAACCAGGCATTGTTCTACAAACGGGGCCATCAAGTCAACTGGTAGCTTTGTAATAAGCTCTAGCGGCGCCCTCTGTACAGTCAACTGAAGTATGTTTATTATCACCATAAACGGGTTCGAAAGATCACCTAGAATGTACAAACACTTTGGAAAATGATCACCAAACAAAACAAATCAAACTAATTAATTTTTTAAATCAGGGCCAGTATGTGCTACATGTCGCTGTCATTCTTTGTCATGTACAAAATTCTTTCCGAAGAAAGGTATAAGAACAACAAAGAAGTAAGGATAGACCAAAAAGGAACAACGATGGTTACGATTAAGCATGACTAAGACGGATCACAAACTGAACAATTTAATCCAATTTTCTAAGGTGCGCCATCGATTACTTAGGTGGGAAGGCGGAAGTGACCTTACCAGCATCATCTTATGGAGGTCAGCCATAAGAGGTATGTTTCCTTTACATAATATGATAACGGTTCCGGTAGGATCCAGGCCTCTCCGCCCCGCACGGCCAGCCATCTGAATGTATTCCCCGGTCAAGAGATCTCTGAAGCTTGAACCGTCGTGTTTCCTGATTGAATCAAATACCACTGTCCTCGCTGGCATGTTAACTCCCATAGCAAACGTTTCAGTGGCAAACAGAATCTGGAGGCAGAGACAGTAATCAGAAAAATTACTGACAAAAAGAATTGAGTAAAAGAATGCTAATGTCAACAAAAAATTCGGGGTTTTTCTCCTTACTGCTTCACAGGTTTTGGTCTTTAACGAATTCGTTTTATTTTCCAGAGTTCAACGAAATCACCTGCCCGCCTAAATCTGTTGCTGGAAGTTGAGTAGCAGCTAACACGTAAATGCCAATGGCTATATTAGTTTCATTGAATCTTTACTGACTAATGCACCATATAATTCCAACGCCACTCAACCCACACAAGACAAAACTCACCTTCACTAGTCCTCGTCCAAATAACATTTCCACCATCTACACAAAAAAGAAAAATCAATTAAGAATGACGTGTACTAAACACTCGCTACGCAAAAACTACACGCAAAACATTAATGTTCAAGGGAAAAGCGGCAGAGTTAATTTCAACCGATCGCGTGTCATTTAGGTGAAAAGTGAAAAATACTCCAAACGATCCAGATTATTGTTATAAATAATATATAAAATAAATAAAATGAAACATGAAAAAATGAAATGATAATTGTTATCAAGCGCTTGCCATCACAGTTTGAGTTGTCACGTGGGTCTTTCGTCACAGGCAAAGTTCATTCAGTTTATTCTTGGAGCCGGAAGATGCTTAAATGAAGAGGTAACTGACAAGAAAATATATGGTATCTAGTAACATTTCATTTCAAGCGTTACTGTTCATCGTATTAGTTCAACGATGATTAATGGGCGCTACTGGACTGCAAGCAGTCAAAAACCTTCGTTCACTCAGTTTTTACGTTCCTTTCGACGGATATTCAAGCAAAAGAGAAACTGCTCGTCGTTTGGAGAATTACGGACACGGGATAAATGACTTACCTCTTTTATGATGGGCAGTACTCCACTATGGTGCACACCAAGACCACGCTTTAGGAGCTCTTGTATCCTAGAAACCTGCATAGATAGAGTTAAGTGAAGTGAGCACTATTAAGATGCTGTTCATTCTCACAACGCATTTTTTATTGCCACTCCTAACAGTTTTGGTCGCAGTTCTTGAGTAGTCAGTTTTAACATTTTCTGACCGGGAGACACCATCGCAAAGATTTCAAGTGAGTTGGTTGAGCTGTGTCGGCATGCAAGTGAAATACTCGGTGAAAAAATCTGTTGTTTATCAAAATAATAACTAAATCAAAATTGATGTTGAATTAACTGCCGTTAGTATGTGAAGCTAACGTTTCGAGCGCTAGCCCTTCATCAGAACAAAAAAAAATTTCTACTGAATCAGCGGATTCTCGAGCACAGAACTCGTCACTTCGCGCTTGAAGTCAAGGGTCCTGGGTTCGAGAACGGAATACCTGGGAGGGTGCGTGACATCCCAAATAAGGGCTGCAAAGGGTATTAAGGTCAAGCAGGTGTCACGCTAATTTAAATACTAAATGAAAACTAAAAATATTACTTGTGGCAACTGTCTGTCGGAGCCTTTGAGTCTCGCCACGGATTTCTGAATGAAGACATGGATCAAGCTCTTCTCGGTGGAGGTGGTGAGGTCAAGGTTACTCAGCTGATCTGCATTGTCATCGCATCTCTTGCGTGAAAAGGTAAAAGCCACCACAGGAAGCTTCTCCTTCTTACGAAGCATTTCAATCAAAGACAACCAGATGTTGCGATCCTTAAAACGGAAAAACGCTCGGTTAGATCAGATGAGATCTGATGAGTCTGCTTAGAGTGAGACCGCTAAAGCTAGAGTGCTGCAATAGGCCATTTTCTCTTTCTCGGTATTGGACTGGAAATAGCTTGCAATGGAGGCTCATGCGGGGAATATCATTGAAAAGAGATTATTGTCATTTGCATTTGNTGGTGCACACCAAGACCACGCTTTAGGAGCTCTTGTATCCTAGAAACCTGCATAGATAGAGTTAAGTGAAATGAACACTATTAAGATGCTGTTCATGCTCACAACGCATTCTTTACTGCCCCTCCTAACAGTTTTGGTCGCAGTTCTTGAGTAGTCAGTTTTAACATTTTCTGACCAGGAGACACCATCGCAAAGATTTCAAGTGAGTTGGCTGAGTTGTGTCGGCATGCAAGTGAAATACTCGGTGAAACAATCTGCTGTTTATCAAAATAATAATTAAATCAAAATTTATTGATGTTAAATTAACTGTCGTTAGTTTGTGAAGTTAGCGTTTCGAGCGCTAGCCCTTCATCAGAACAAAACAAACATCTCTACTGAATCAGCGGATTCTCGAACACAGAACTCGTCATTTTGCACTTGAAGTCAAGGGCCTTGGGTTCGAGAACGGAATACCTGGGAAGATGCGTGACAACCCAAATAAGGGCTGCAAGGGAAATTAAATTTACTAAAGCACGTGTCACGCTAATTTAAATACTAAATAGCAACTAAAAATGTTACTTGTGGCAATTGTCTGTCGGAGCCTTTGAGTCTCGCCACGGATTTCTGAATGAAGACATGGATCAAACTTTTCTCGGTGGAGGTGGTGAGGTCAAGGTTACTCAGCTGATCTGCATTGTCGTCGCATCTCTTGCGTGAGAAGGTAAAAGCCACCACAGGAAGCTTCTCCTTCTTACGAAGCATTTCAATCAAAGACAACCAGATGTTGCGATCCTTAAAACGGAAAAACGCTCGGTTAGATCAGATGAGATCTGATGAGTCTGCTTAGAGTGAGACCGCTAAAGCTAGAGTGCTGCAATAGGCCATTTTCTCTTTCTCGGTATTGGACTGGAAATAGCTTGCAATGGAGGCTCATGCGGGGAATATCATTGAAAAGAGATTATTGTCATTTGCATTTGGAAAGGCTCTCCTAATTAGCCTCAGTTGCAAGCTAGTTCCAGTCCAATACCGAGAATACGAATATGGTCTATCCAGGAAACAAGCTTTCCACTCACTCCCCACCCCTCCCCTAATGATAAACCACCCCTACCCGGTTAAAGCTCCATCTGTATTACGGCAAAGGGCTGCAGTATCAACGCCTTTTGTCATGGAACCTAATAAGCAGGATTTTGTAGTATGATTAACGCGAGAATGAATTCTAGTAATATTACAGAACGTTTGACAGCCCACTGACCTCCTTGATATTTGTACTTTGGTGAGTCTTGGAGCCATAAGCATCCTTTCCTTTCCCCTCTCGCTCTTTCTTCGCCGTCACAGCTGCTTCGTAACCGCGCGTCAAAAATTTACTGTTAGCATCCACGATCATAAACAGCTCGTTACTTGTCTTATTACTGTTACCCGTGTACAGGAAATGCTGGAGAGGGACTGGGCGTTTCGGAGTGCTGATGACGTAGATCTTTTTCTTCTTGGTGCGTCTGTGTGATTAAACAAAAGTTTTGGTTTAAGAGGGTGTTCTTGCGCTTTGCAACACACATGGTCGCTTGGCTTTGACACTTTTCCGACGACTTTCGATTACGAACCGATTATTTCCCGAAGGCTTTCCGAAGATCGTGCGGTCGTTTCGAATATCGCGTGAAGATTTTAGAAGATTACTTAACATTGCCTTAGGTGATTCGACAATATTTCGACTAAAACACTAACAAATTTCGACTCCACAAACGTTACATGCGAAGATATAACCATGGGCTTAGATATACTACTATTATACAAAGGTTGGATAACACTATCCACCAAATTATTGCTACCTAGCGGATAGCACAGTTGGTTTTTTCAAAACTTATCCACCTGATCGTGATTTATCCGGTGGATAGCAAAATCTACCCTTTGAACAACTGGGTCCAGATCTTTTAAAGCAAAACGAAATCGTTGCAGTTCACTTCAATTGAACTTGACATACAGGCAAATCCTTAAACTGATTCTCGTAAGAACAATCACTCACCCTATCCAGTCCGCAAATTCCAGAGTGTTAGGTACTGTGGCTGATAACAATATGATCTTGACTTGAGCCGGTAACATAATCAAAACTTCTTCCCACACAACGCCTCTCTGGTGAGTAAATACAACATCACATTACAGGGTGCGAGGTGCTGGTGGTGGCAGAGGGAGGGAAGAAGCCACAGTAGTCAGAACACGTGCAACGGAGTGACGTCCGCAAACATTACGCCACATACAATGAACTTAGAATCACAATTTACTAACCTTACTGTTTGTTTACATACATACTTCAAGTGGAGAGACTACAAGAGAAGTGTCTCGTCCTCTGACAGCTTCACGCATTTGGAAAAATTTTACACATGAAAACCTGGCAAGTTGTCACTGTTTTTTTGAGCGTTATTAACGTGACTGGCGAACTGAATTAAATGAGAATATCTTTACCTCGTCGTCGTTAATGTAGTGAACTTCGTCAAAAATGACCCACTCGACATCCCGTATGGCATCTGAACCGTTGTATAACATGGAACTGTTAGTATAAAGAGAAGTTCTGGCATTATACGTTAGGTTCTCTCGGAAGTTATAACCCTTGTTAGCACTTCTTTATAGAAACAAACTCAAACTTCACTGGTAAAACAAAACTGGCATCTTAAGTGTGCCATGGAGCGAGATAGAGTAAACAAGCTGTTTTAGCAACCAATCGAAGGCCAAGTTTAAACCGACCGGTTGCATTTTTTTCCCGCCCTTTTCGCCGGTCAATTGGTTGTCATTGGTAACATGCCTTCCGGCGGTTGGTATCACTTGCACGTTTTTTCTCTCGGATCTAATGTAATTGGTTCAATACGTAATTGGCATCTGTCGTCATTGGCCAGATATGATAACTTTGCGATTGGTTATATTTTCAGTTCTACGACGGTCATTAGTAAAACCACGCTACAAAAGAAGAAAGAGAAGTTATCGCGTAAAGAACTGCAGGTTACTGACCGTAAAATTTCCGTGGTCATGATAAGACAGGAAGCCTCAGGTCTGATCTGCACGTCACCCGTTAATAAACCAACATCCTCAAAAGTATCCTTGAACTCACGAAACTTCTGATTGGACAAAGCCTTGATTGGTGACGTATACACAGTCCTGTGCAACAGAGAAAAGGGCATGCCACTGAGCAAGAGCTGTTGTGGCGTGAACGGTGGGCTCAGAGAAATAATGCAAGTTATCTATGGTTAACACGCGCACAGTTTGTTGAAATCTAAATCTCTAAAGCATGCAGTTTATTTCTGCTATCTTAAAAACACAACGTGCCTGAGTAGATTTCTACTCCTATTACCTGTCTTCTACTAAGAAAATTAGCTGAATTAATACCGACGGGTCAACTTTTGCCGCACAGTTAATGCAACGATAAGTCATGGCAATTTAGTGTAATTGAACTAGAAGAGAGATTGGAAGGGAAATGAATTTTATCGATCAGTACCAAAACCCAGTCCTTTAAAATTAGCTTTATGCTCCATAAGGGGTATCCTGCAGCCTGCAGTCATATACACCGTAGGCTCGATTACCAGCCGCTGTTCGGGAAAGGAGCCCGGGCGCCTCCCCCGTCTCTTCTCGGGTCGGACTTGAGAGAGCGGCGGAAAACGAGCCTCTAAACATGAGTTCTTCAGATGAGTACCTCGTCATATGTTTGTTGGACAGAGCGATGGCGTATTCAGCTACTACAGTCTTTCCAGCGGATGTGTGAGCAGCAACAAAGACGCTCTCGTTGTTTTCCAAACAAAGCACGGCCTGTTTCTGAAAAGTATCCAGCTCAAACTTCCACTACAAACAGCAAAACACATACAAGGGTTACCGTTACTGTGAGTTTCATACATCGCAAAGTAAATTTAAAAAAGCTGTCTGATAACGCATGATTTCACGCGGTAAATACAAGTACTTCTGGTAGCCCTGTGGATTAGCATCCAATTTCTCCTGATAACATCTCCACGCATTTAAGTAGATAGGTGATGAGAACAAAGAAAATCATCAACTGGAGATATAGTCTTCATGAACCCAAAAAAATCTTATTCTCTACACTAAAATTACAGCAAAAAGAATCAAACTTTTGAGTTTGGGGCTGAAAGATGTCACATGACTATTCACTGCAGCCTGCTAATCCAAGCAGTATATGGAAAGTGTGTCACACTTGAGGCAAGTTACATAGAGTAGCAACTAGAAGTCTGTTTTAGCTCGGTGAAAGAAATTTGGCCACAAGTCATACTGTATGTTTGACTCTTGTTGGGACCTGTTGGAAGGAGTCAGAAGCTGTATTTTTCTCTGAGTAGCTAGTGTCACTGGCTGATAAACATCTTTTTTATAAGTGTGAGTAAAGTGCCAAAACAAGGTTAATTTCTGACCTTGTGGGCCATATCAGGAACTCGCTTGTGAAAATCTCTCACAGGTTCTGTCACATCTACCATTATAGCCCATTCCTCCTTGACTGGTTTATCTATAACAGGAGTTGCTGAAGTTAATTTGTTCTCCAAATCTTGGCTCTCCACTAACACATTTTCAAGGCTATCATGCCTCTGGAGACCTCCTGCAAAATTATATTAAACAATTAGATTATCAGCTCGAGATTTCTATCGTGCAGTAGTTGACGAGGGTACAGCCCTAGTCAACTATCACACGAAATAATCAAGAAATCAAGAGCGAATAATCTAATTGTTTTAGTCATTCAAAACTTTATCTAAATCCTCTTCACAGACACTTCAAAAATGCCAAGAAGTGGCCGTCATTTTGTTAACAAGGGCACACTGCCATGCTACTCACTATCTATCACAGAATAGATAGGGAGCAGCATAGCCAATCAGAGAATGCAATCGTGATAGAACACTAGCATATTTCTACCAAATGAGAATATTATTCTTCTCAAAGTACTTTCAGAAATAAAAATATATTGTGGAAGCATAGTTTGCCTTAATTCAGATGGTAACCACAAACCCTTCTCCCTTAAGGAGGCTGGCAACAGTTTCCAGCACCTTAAATTTTTGAAAATTTAAGGTGGCTCTGAACCCTCTCCACAGAACGTTTTTAACTTGGTAAAAATTTGCATCCTGTCATGCTTATCAAAATTCGGTAATAAAAAATGAGGGTCACCAAGGTCTTTTTGAGTTATAAGCGCTTTAAGCTAAAATTAAGAGTGTTTTAGCAGGTTATACCATTGCTATGGTAACCTATTGTGCCACAGAATTGACACCAACATGTTCACCAATTACTGGGCATTTTTTTGATGCCAGGATTGTGGCATCAACTGATATGGAGTGGTTATCATGACCCATCAAAATCCCTGTTTGGAAAGTGCTGGAGCATGTTTTGAGCCACCTTAAACACCTTTTCCAGATATTACATCTAAACTAACTAGCTTATAGTTATTTCTAAACATCTCTAATGACATAAGTTGGAAGAATTTGATAACATATCATGACAATTTCTTCTTAAGGATAAATTCTGTTATTCTCTTGAACTCTATGCTACTATTGTTTTGAAACTTTTAAAGAACAATTTGGATGCTCACAACTATTTAGGTGTTCATCTACAAACAATGGATTTGTTCTTACCTTCTGTACTGTCCTCTGGGTCAATAACAGATTCTCCCCTCTCTGGCAACTACAAAACAAAGAGGAGACTCAAACAGAGAAGAACATTATTGAGTGGGGAATTCTAAGCTCAAAAAGTTGCTGTAATAACTCACTTTTGTTTAGGTAAACATTGTGTTAGACTCAATTGTCTACTGCAAAAGAAAATGACAAGAAGCCATATGAATCCAGTTTTCAGTCAGTTACTAAACCTGATCTATGTCGTCTTCATCTGAATCGAGATCATCACCATCATCACTGTACTCTAAGTCTTCCAGTGTTGTGCCAGCCATGATGTCAGACATGGCCAAGACTTGAGGCACAGAGGTATAGGAATCTCCTTCTGAATTTAAGAACAAATCAATTATGATTCACTTAACACAGCTCGACAATAATACATCAACACTTAACAAGAGCCTGAAATTCCAAATAAACCTCTGCTAGTGCTGTGTCAGCAACACAGCTATTATAGCAAACAATATGTGCACAGGGTGAATTTATACACACTCCGTGATGCAACACTGAGGGAATGGACATAGCTTTTTGCACGTATTGCAGGCCTATCATACCAGATAAAAATAATATTACAGTAATAAAAATACTATAAAGACCAACCTTGCTCCTCTTTTGGATCACTAAAAGAAACTCCTTTTTCAAATCCCGGTGGCACAGAAAGAAGATCTGCAGATACAAGAGGAAAAAGACTGACATGAATACACTTTGTCACACAAACACTGTCTACTACCCTCTCCACCTCCACATTTGTCCTGATGGGGTGTCATGACAGGAACATATCACTGGCATGGTGACACAAACCTGACAAAGTGTGTATGAATGTGTCAGTACATTGACATACCTTTCTCANAATCAGAGAATGCAATCGTGATAGAACACTAGCATATTTCTACCAAATGAGAATATTATTCTTCTCAAAGTACTTTCAGAAATAAAAATATATTGTGGAAGCATAGTTTGCCTTAATTCAGATGGTAACCACAAACCCTTCTCCCTTAAGGAGGCTGGCAACAGTTTCCAGCACCTTAAATTTTTGAAAATTTAAGGTGGCTCTGAACCCTCTCCACAGAATGTTTTTAACTTGGTAAAAATTTGCATCCTGTCATGCTTATCAAAATTCGATAATAAAAAATGAGGGTCACCAAAGTCATTTTGAGTTATAAGCGCTTTAAGCTAAAATTAAGAGTGTTTTAGCAGGTTATACTGTTGCTATGGTAACCTATTGTGCCACAGAATTGACACCAACATGTTCACCAATTACTGGGCATTTTTTTGATGCCATGATTGTGGCATCAACTGATATGGAGTGGTTATCGTGACCCATCAAAATCCCTGTTTGGAAAGTGCTGGAGCATGTTTTGAGCCACCTTAAACACCTTTTCCAGATATTACAACTAAACTAACTAGCTTATAGTTATTTCTAAACATCTCTAATGACATAAGTTGGAAGAATTTGATAACATATCATGACAATTTCTTCTTAAGGATAAATTCCGTTATTCTCTTGAACTCTATGCTACTATTGTTTTGAAACTTTTAAAGAACAATTTGAATGCTCACAACTATTTAGGTGTTCATCTACAGACAATGGATTTGTTCTTACCTTCTGTACTGTCCTCTGGGTCAATAACAGATTCTCCCTTCTCTGGCAACTACAAAACAAAGAGGAGACTCAAACAGAGAAGAACATTATTGAGTGGGGAATTCTAAGCTCAAAAAGTTGCTGTAATAACTCACTTTTGTTTAGGTAAACATTGTGTTAGACTCAATTGTCTACTGCAAAAGAAAATGACAAGAAGCCATATGAATCCAGTTTTCAGTCAGTTACTAAACCTGATCTATGTCGTCTTCATCTGAATCGAGATCATCACCATCATCACTGTACTCTAAGTCTTCCAGTGTTGTGCCAGCCATGATGTCAGACATGGCCAAGACTTGGGGCACAGAGGTATAGGAATCTCCTTCTGAATTTAAGAACAAATCAATTATGACTCACTTAACACAGCTCGACAATAATACATCAACACTTAACAAGTGCCTGAAATTCCAAATAAACCTCTGCTAGTGCTGTGTCAGCAACACAGCTATTATAGCAAACAATATGTGCACAGGGTGAATTTATACACACTCAGTGATGCAACACTGAGGGAATGGACATAGCTTTTTGCACGTATTGCAGGCCTATCATACCAGATAAAAATAATATTACAGTAATAAAAATACTATAAAGACCAACCTTGCTCCTCTTTTGCATCACTAAAAGAAACTCCTTTTTCAAATCCCGGTGGCACAGAAAGAAGATCTGCAGATACAAGAGGAAAAAGACTGACATGAATACACTTTGTCACACAAACACTGTCTACTACCCTCTCCACCTCCACATTTGTCCTGATGGGGTGTCATGACAGGAACATATCACTGGCATGGTGACACAAACCTGACAAAGTGTGTATGAATGTGTCAGTACATTGACATACCTTTCTCAAAGTTCAGCTCCCCATCAAACACAAGGTCTGGTTTTGTAGTTTCTGGAGCCTCCATACCACCTTTGCAACATCAAACAAAACTATTCAGAACAGTGCAGTATAAACTTCAGCTTGGTTTTATCTTATCAATAATAATAATTAATTAAAATATTTATCTAGGGAGCCCACTTGCTTTGGCAGTTTTCAGTGGGGCCCTGCAAATCATAATTAAAATTAAAAACAAGGAAAGAGATTAAAAAAATTGGTACTACAATGTAATACTAATTTTCATTTATGCTGTCATTTGTTCAATTCATTTAACAATAAGTGATCATTCCATGATATTCGGTGTTGTTAAGTCAGGTGTCACCAAAGCACCATGGAAAACTACTGAATATCGTTCTTTTTAAAATTATTCCAAAGAAGATTTTGTAAATGACTTGAAGGATGTTGACTGCGTATATTAATGTCTGCGTGTATCTAGTATAAAGCAGCAAGATCATCAGTCCGCAAGCCCATTTTTTTGATATAAATATGTTAGAGCTCTACTGCAGTAGACTCCACAACATCACTTTTACCTGGTAAAAAAGGATAATTTGTTGACTCTCCTCTCACAGAGGCAGACAGTGGTCCAGGTTGTCGTAACAGGGACATGGAATTTTTAGCAGTGGATCCGGTATCTGTCAACATCACCTTTCAGCAAGCCATACAAATAAAAACATCACAGGTTACATGAAAGTTATCTTAGATTACTGATGATCACAAGATTGCTGATGAGCTACATGCATTTAAATATTGGTATAAGTTCACTTAAGTATCAGCAGTATACCTGTAGAGACCTTAATTCAAATCTGGGCTTATCAAGAAATTCATAGACCAGCCTTTTGATACATGTATACTAGGCAAGTCCAGTTAGTCATGTGAGCCAAAGAGGGATACTGAAGTATCAAAATGATCAAGACATTTTAAAGAATACTGGAACTGATTAATTTTACACAGTGGAACCCCATTAATCTGGTCACCAACAGGCGACAAGACTCTAGCCGTATTAACGGGGTGGCGGTATTAAACGGGCCCTTTCAATAAGAAAACAACTGACCGAGCTTTTCTTCGGGCCAGAATAAACTGGCCATAATAATGAGGTGGCTGTTTTAATGCCAGGGTGGCCTTAAGCCAGGGATTCCACTGTATTGGGAAAAAGGGACAGAAATTTCCCCTGAGATAAATTTTGTTCTAAAATTTTAAAAACTCTCCTTACGATACTTAATTATTAATGAGTTCACATGTAAGTTTAAGTTGAAATCTTGTCTGAGTGATATGAGTACCATACTTAATTTAAAAGTGATTGTCATTGTATTTCAAGAGGTTACATTTAGCTGATGTTTAGGGGATGTTTAGGGTCCAGTACGAGTAAGTTTGACAGTCCTAAAGCTTGACAGTCCTGCAAAAATTGCACACAGCCTTCAACATTTCAAATCTTTAAAATCTTACTGCATTTCTCATTGTTTGGCAATTCTGTATGAGAATTTTAGAAAATGTCAGAGCTACAGGCAGTATTCAAAGCCAAGAAATGATAGCATGATGATGAAATGAGTACTGGCACTGGGAGAGGTGACAAGAGGGGCAAATGGATAGACATACCTCATTATAGCCCAGAAGCTCTCCAGTTGTTGGATTTCTCTCTACTTTCAATGTTGATGGAACAGGACAGACATCTGAAAACAACAGGCTCTCTGGGTCTCTTTCACGGGGCCAAAACCTTTAATTTTAGATCAAATGAAAATTTTAATTATCAAAACACAGTTTTCATTTAATTAAGATATTGTAATCTGAGTGTACCCCCTCACTCAAACCTACTGATTTGGTAAGTTACCTTTGTCCTAGAGACATATGAATGATCATCATTACCATTATTAACATCACCACCTATATTTTGTAGTCTACTCAAATGCGAGCTGTGCCCTAAAAAATAAGCCATTAGTGCTATAATTAAACTGATAATGGAAATGGAAATGGAACACAGGAGTCTGTAGTCTTGTGATACACTGAGATGCAGTTATTTATTTACATTACCTTTGTGTTTTGTGAAAGTCATGGATGGGCAGGGTGGTGGGATCCAAAAGATATTTCTCTAAATCAGACTTCAAATCTGGAGCAAACAGAGGAGGTAAACCACAAGGAAGCTGCAAACAACAGGTTATACAGAAAATTACTAACAGTAGATTGTGTAAAAGTTATCAACAGAAGACTATTAATAATCTGTTCCCTTGAGGTTACACTTCAGTTACATTTTGTATAATAATTGTCCTTGATGTGATAAATATTGTTTTTGGTTTGAAGATATTCAATCCACTTTGCTTTTTATCTCAGTTTCTTCCCCATGACCTTTTCTCATTGCATTTAATGTTAGTTGACCTTGATGTCATCAAAAATTGTATCTACAACATTTTCAACTATTGCTCATTACCAGAGGACAAGTTTGGACTTCTATCACCCAGACAGATTTGTTATCAAAACTTGTTCGCAATAGAAGGGGTCAAATGACACTGGCAGTCATCCTGACCCTTACCATCCGATGACAATGACAATGACCATGACAGCAATGATGACAATAGGAATGACAATGATGATGATAATGATGATAATCATGAAGAGGAACGAGTGTGGATAGAGGGTGGGAAGAGTTGGGATGGAAGTCATAGAGGGCCGCAAAAACATCTGTGAAAGACATGAGATGGATGGAGGGCTTTTCTGAATAACCTCAAGCATTCTCTGAGGCACAAAAAAGATATATAAATGTAAGTACCAGTAAGTAATCAGAAACAAAGATACAAGGAATAAAATTCAAACTGGTTTGTGAACTTTCATGTCAAGACAACATGACTGGTGGCTTCCTTGGAGGTTTTCAGTTCTAAGCCTAATTTATACATTTACTATTTTTGATATTGTATTAATTTAGGTTATAAACTTTGTAAATAAAATTACAAAGGCAGTAAAAACATGTCATAGGAAATCACGGCAAGTTTTAAGTTACCAGCCTGTCAACGACAAAGAAAAAAAAAATTTCAAGAGCTATTACTGCATTCAATATAAACTTACAGTAGTCAGTGGTTTTAGTTCTTCCTTAGAGGATTTATTGATTGATTCTGAAATAACTTCAATTGTCCCTGTACATCCAACTTCCAGAAGATCAAAAGCATACTCCAAGGCATCAGACTCCTGTTTTGTACCTTGTGATGCAAAAAAAGTCAATGAATGCAAACTATATGGAGGAGACCTACAGGGGGTACCACCAAGGTCTTCCGTTTGTTTAGTATTGATGGGTCTTTATCATGTGAGATTTTCAAGATAAAAACATCATTATTTTCAGAACTTTTAAACCAGCAAAAAAAGATGCATAAAAAGTCAATGAATACAAACTATATGCAGGAGACCTACAGTGGGTGTCGCCAAGGTCTTCCATTTATTTAGCATTGATGGGTCTTTATCATGTGAGACTTTCAAGATAAAAACATTATTATTTTCAGACTTTTAAACCAGCATTATCTGGTCCAAAATTTCATGATATCAGTAAAAATACATCGCTGAACTCATTGCAAATGGAAGCGAAGAGCTAAGGGTAACAGCTGATTATATTTGCATTAGTTCCATGCTAATCATGAAGGAAGAGATCAAATTTAGTCATTACCAAGAGAAGTTTTATATGACCTTCATTATATATGGGCGAATAATAAATGAACCTGGCATCCAAGTGAAAAGTCTTGAACAGATCTAGATTATCCGTTTTGTAGCATACAAAACAGATTTTTTAGAGTTGCTCTAAACAGCTTATAAAACGGAATAATTT